TCTACTTCCCTTCTGTGAGCTTGATTATAGGTAAGAGCAGAATAAGAGCAAAAAAGGCTGGACGGCTGTTGGGGCTGTGCCAGCTGTGGCAGTGTGCCATGCAGACCTCCCTTCCAGAAAGAACCTGCTGCAAGGAATGCAGAATGCTTGCTGACAACTGCCAGTCTGAATCTGCCCCAGCATCCAGGGTGCAGCACTTTCTCCCAGGCAGTCCTCTACCAATGACTGAGCATGGCAGGGGTACAAGGGCATGACCACTGCCATACAACGTGGGACTTTTTTGAGGGCAATCCTTGTGCCAGACTCCCTATTAGGCTGGCCAGGACATTTCCAGAGCTGCACCACAGTCTGAGACTTTATTCACCCACACAATCATCCTTCCTTACCCTTCTCCTTTTACGAGTCTCAGACCTGCAACATGGTTTTAAGGCTTTCCCTGCCCTCTCCAGCTCCCTTCTCCTTTTGCCTTTCACAGTTATTACACCCCAGTGCTTTCACTTATAAACCCATCCTGGTGTCTGTCTGCTTCCTAGAGGACCCAGATTGACAGGAAGCAGAGCAAAAATACATGTAAGGAGATTTTACTCTGCTGCTTCTGCCGGCATCAGTCAGAGATAGACCAAGGGAATTGGAGGAGGTCAGTTGGCAGTGATGTCAAGGATGATCAAAGTTTCCAGATAATTGGCTGGGTGCGGTGACTCACACCTGTAATCCCAGCACTTTGGGAGGCTGAGGTGGGTGAATCATTTGAGGTCAGGAGTTCAAGACCAGCCTGGCCAACATGGTGAAACCCCATCTCTACTAAAAGAAAAAAAAAATAGCCGGGTGTGGTGGTGTGTGCCTGTAGTCCCATTTACTCAAGAGACTGAGCCAGGAGAATAGCTTGAACCCAGGAGGCAGAGGTTGCAGTGAGTCGAGATCGCACCACCGCACTCCAGCCTAGGCGACAGAGTGAGACTCTGTCTAAAAAAAAAAAAAAAGTTTCCAGATAGCCAGCCCTACCCAGGCCATCTCAAGTAGTATACAACCTGAATGAAACCTGCTTATTTAAAAAAAAAAAAAAAAAATTTTTTTTTTTGAGACAGCCTTACTCTGTTGCCCAGGATAGAGTACAGTGGCGCGATCTCAGCCCATTGCAGCCTCCACCTCCCAGGTTCAAACAATTCTCCTACCTCTCTGGCTCCGGAGGTGCACTCCGCCACGCCTGGCTAATTTTTGTATTTTTTAGTAGAGATGGGGTCTCACCATGTTGGCCAGGTTGGTCTTGAACTCCTGGCCTCAGGTGATCCGCCCACCTCTGCCTCCCAAAGTGCTGGGATTACAGGTGTAAATCACTGCGCCTGGCCAAACCTTCTTATTTAAAATGCAAACAATTTCAAAAGCAACTCCTCTAGAAACTCATAGCAGCCAGATGGCTGCCCCTAAGCTTTCCTTATGTAGAAATTCTGAGGCTACCAATGGAACAGTTCTAAACCCTTCCTTCCTTCTTTCCTGTTCTGGAGGAGGAAGGGATTAGTTAACACACTAGAATCCAGAGGGGCAGTGTGTTTGAGAGGGGAAGTTGGCACTCATTTCCACTCTTGGAAGCCAAACCATGGGATTCTGAGGTCTCCAGGGACATTTTCTAGATCTCCAACTGTGATGATCATCTCTGTCTTACACCCCAGGCTGTGTTCAAAGGACTGCCTGTGTCTGGCTCACCATGTTCCACTGACATTCCAGCCAGAAACCATTCTCAGTGTTGGTAGAACAATGCTCTAATCACATAGCTGAAATTACAGTTTGGGGCTCCGTAAGGTAATGGTTCAAAAGATTTTCTGTGGAAATCTCTGCAGTCCCATCTGGAAAGCAAACACTGGCTGGATAGGAAGCAGCCTTGGGGTGGATCACATGGAAAGCAGGTAGACAAAGTTATGACCCAGGATTTCAGAGTGAATATCCTCTCTGTGCCAGGCACTTTTACAAGTTTATATTTCTAAAACCAACCTATGATGCTGGAATTATACTTTGAGGGAATCGCTACTTTATGGCTTAGAAAAATGTGGTTTGGCTGGGTGTGATGGCTCATCCCTATAATCCCAGCATTATGGGAGGTCGAAGCAGGAGGATCACTTGAGTCCAGGAGTACAAGACTAGCCTGGGCAACATGGCAAAACCCCATCTCTACAAAAAATATAAACATTAAGCAGGCATGGTGGTATGCACCTGTAGTCACAGCTACTCAGGAGGCTGAGCTGGAAGGATTTCTTGAGCCTAGGAGGTTGAGGCTACAGTGAGCTATGATCATGCCAGTGCACTCTAGCCTGGGTGACAGAGTAAGACTGTGTCTCAAAAAAGGAAAGAAAAGAGAAAGAAAGAAAGAAAGAAATGTAATTGGAAGGTTAAGTGATTTTTTCCAAGGTCATAGTGCTAGCAAGTAGCAAGCCTAGGATTCGAGCCAGGTCTTCAGATGCTAAATTTAGTGACTTTTTAATGATTTTACTGCTGGCTAACTATTCTCTTGCCTTTATCCATATTCCTGTGTCAATAATAGTATTTTACTCTGTGGCCTCACCTCTTTGCTTAGTTGCTTAGATAAAAATCATGTTGATTTTTAATGAGGCCGTGGTTGGGAAGCACTGTAGTGGACATTTGCTAGTTTTTGATATCCCCGACATCCCTTTTCCTCCTCTTTTGGTAAATGTATTCTAATTTCTCTCTGGAGAACTCGCTTCTCCCCCACTTGGAATCCATGTGTTTCGGGTGGACTGTAACCCTTACTTTAGGAATGGGGTCTGTGAATCCCCCTAAATCAGTGTACCTATTCCTCTTGGCCACTGCAGTTCGGATTGGTCTGTAATCAGTCAGGTCTTGTAAGTCTTTTTGCCAGTGCTTCTGTGAGCAAGCACTCTTCTCCAGTTGGCCTGAACCTGGAAGAATGTGTGGCTGGAGATGCTGTAGCCATCTTGCTGTTCTAATTGGTGAGGCCTGTCCAAGAATGGGGCTCACACAGTGAAAACAGAGCTAAGAAGGGAGGAGGAAGAAATCTGGTCCTGGTGTCACTTTTTTTTTTTGAGACAGAGTTTTGCTCTTGTTGCCCAGGCTGGAGTGCAATGGCATGATCTTGGCTCACTGCAACCTCCGCCTCCTGGGTTCAAACGATTCTCGTGCCTCAGCCTCCTGAGTAGCTGAGATTACAGGTGCCTGCCACCACGCCCAGCTAATTTTTGTATTTTTAATAGAGACAGGGTTTCACCATGTTGTCCAGGCTGGTCTCAAACTCCTGACCTCATGTGATCTGCCCACCTTAGCCTCCCAAAGTGCTGGGATTACAGGTGTGAACCACCACCCCCAACCTTTTTTTTTTTTTTTTGTTTTGGACCAGGACATTCTTGAAGCCAGAACTACCTCCAAGAACTTTCAGGTCTGTGATACAACAAATTCCATGAATGCTTAAATTAATAATGTAGGTTGGATTTCTGGTTACTTTCAACTGCAAGAGGCTAACCTGTTACAACAGACTTTCTCAGTTCAATTTCACTCAAGTTAAGAACCAATTAGGACTCAACAATAAAAAGACAAATTACCCAATTTAAAATGAACAAATGATATGAATAGACATTTCCCCAAAGAAGATGTACAAGTAGCCAATAAACTCTTGAAAAGATGTTCAACATCATTAATCATTAGGAAAATGCAAATCAAAACCACAATGAGATATAACTTTACACCCCCTAGGATGGCTGTAATAAAAAATATAAACAACAAGTGTTGGAAGGATATGGAGAAATTAGAACCCTTGTACCTTGCTGGTAGGAATGTAGGTGGTACAGCCACTTTGGAAAACAGTCTGACAGGTCCTCAAACAATTAAACATACAGTTACCAGCTATTCTACTCCCAGGTATATACCCCCCAAAAATGAAAATACATGTCCACAAAACGTTTTGTACAAGAATGCTCATAATACTTGTATTCATAACAGCCGAAAATGGAAAACAACTCAAATGTCCAGCAATAGGAGATTGGATAAACACATTGTGATATATTCATACAAAGGAATACTCCTCAGCAATAAAAGGAACGAGCCACTGATACATGCAAAAAAAAAAAAAAAAAAAAAAAAAAGGATGAATCTAGAACCATGGTGAGTGAAAGACACCAGACGCAAAATAATAAATGTGGTATGTACATTTATATGCGGTCCCAGAACAGGCAAACTAATCTATGGTGATAGGATCAGAAAGTGGTTCCCTCCACCAGGCGTGGTGACTCTTGCCTGTAATCCCAGCACTTTGGGAGGCTGAGACGGGTGGATCACGAGGTTAGGAGATCGAGACCATCCTGGCTAACACGGTAAAACCCCATCTCTACTAAAAATACAAAAAATTAGCCGGGCGTGGTGGCGGGCGCCTGTAGTCCCAGGGAGACTGAGGCAGGAGAATGGCGTGAACCCGGGAGGCGGAGCTTGCAGTGAGCTGAGATGGCGCCACTGCACTCCAGCCTGGGCAACAGGGTGAGACTCTGTCTCAAAAAAAAAAAAAAAAAAAAAAGAGGTTCCCTTAGTCAGAAGAGAGGATTTGACTAGAGGACAAGAGGATGAGACAACTTTCTGAAACTTTAGATGGTAGTAACATGAATGTGTACAATTATGAAATCCACTGGCCAAGCATGGTGGCTCAGGCTTGGCCAAGCATGGTGGCTCAGGCTTGTAATCCCAGTGCTTCAGGAGGCCGAGGTGGGAGGATTGCTTGAGGCCAGGAATTCAAGACCAGCCTGGGCAACATAGCTGGTCTTAAAAAAAAAAAAAAAAAAAAAAATTAGCCCAGTATGGCTATGTATGCCTGTGTCTCCAGATACTCGGGAGGCTGAGATGGGAGAATCACTTAAGCCCAGGGGCTTGAGGTTGAGGTTGCAGTGAGCCATGATTACCCCACTGTACTTCAGCCTGGGTGACAGAATGAGACTCTGCCTCTAAAATTTTTTTTAAAAGTCATTGAACTGAACCTTAAGATCAGCATATTAAATACTTCACTTAAAAATAATTAATACTTGGAATGATACAGAGAAGATTAGCATGGCCCCTGTGTAAGGATGACAGGAAAAAAAAAAATACTGTGTTTTAAATGTTTACTGCTTCCTCACTTTTCATGAGGAAAAAAAGCATCCACTGAATTTATATGATCTAACAGGTGTGAAAAACTCCCTATCAAAAAATATCATTCCCCACCAACTTAAGAATAGACTGAATTTCCCCTGATTAGCTTCTCCTTTGATATACACATTGAAAGCCCTAAATAAAATGCTATATTAATTTCCCCAATGAATATTTTAGCATGACACTAATGTATGAAGTTGGTTCTCCTCCCTCTTAGCAAGGTACTGCAACCCAGTATTGACTATGTTAAAGTCTAAAAATAAATAAGATAATAAAAATGATAAAATGGTGATTACCTTCTTCAAGTTGCTTAGAAGTCTGAAGAGGCACCAACCCTTACAAACGAAATTTTCACTTTGGCTGACTCAGTCTCATTTGTTAATTTTTTCTTTACATCACCCCACCTCCCAGCTTTATGCCTCATCACTTACTACCTACTGATCAGTTTAATGGGCCTCAGAAAGGCTATGGAAATCCTAAAATGCAGAGTCATTTACAGACTTCCCTCACATGAGCCCTCAAATCCCTATGGGTGCACTGGAATATCCATTTTGTTGGTGATTTATGGGTTAGAAAGAGCCCTTAATTGCTTCACTAGCATGGACTTCTCTGTGACCAAGAAAAATAAAAAATAAAATAAATGGCAATGTGGGCTCCTTTAAGAGAAAGGAGAGGGGACATTACACAAGAAAAATGTTATTTTCCAATATCAAGAAAATTCATTAGCAAACACATTATAATGCACTCAAGTAGTCATCACCCTGAATTGTTTTGGAAAAGGCCCTGCTTTGGAAAAACACAGGGCAAAAACATTACTCCTGTAGCTTGGCACAATGAGATGGCAGGATGACAAATGTCTTATTCTCTACAGTGCCTTAATATTTACAGGACATCTGCTACTGTGTATTTCTCCCTCCCTTGAGTCACCTTTATCACAGTCTAACATTGTGTTATTGCTGTTTCCCATTCCACCTGTTACAGTGATAAGATACAGCTCTACTCCTCCAGTGTGTGGGAAGCAAATGAGTCTGAAAGTCAGGAGGCTGAGCTTCTAGTTCCATTGTTGTGCTAACTGTGCACTCTTAGGCAAATATTGCCTAAGATTATCTTGGTTTTAGTGTCCTCTTCTAAAAAAATGGGAAGTATAATAGACATGGTTCCAATGAAATGGAAGCTAAGACTTACCCCGAGCCATTAAGGGTTCCTCATAGAACCAATATATAGAAAAGGGGTGATATATCCTTAATAGCAGTAATTAGATTGCTGCTATCTAGTGGGGATAGACAGGGAGAGCTATGTTTAGAACTCAGGGATTCAATGACCAACTTCTTAGCATTCCTTGGCCCAGTGGTCTGCTCAATGGAAAAGTGCAGCCACCCAATAAAGACAAGATTATCAATGTCTCATATCCTACATGCAACAAAGTTTGCATCTCTCCAAATCTACTTTGGAAAATAGGCAAAAACATCTTTACTATGGGACAAGTAGCCTGGGACAAGGAAAGAGGTAAAACACATCCTGCTGAAGTGCTGATGGAAGGAAAGAGCAGAAGTGGGAGGTGGAAGAAGGTAGCCTTGAATACCAGTGTACGCCTTATCACCAGCTGCAGAAGCAGGGGTTATACCAGCTGTAATGTCAATCCCTTGGTCATTTCTTCTTCTCCCCAAACTTTGTATTTTAAAAGAAAAACACTGGAAGTGGCTACCATTTTAGATTCAGGTGGACATGTGAGCAACTTCTCATCACTCCGAATCTACTCTTTGCCCAGCTCCATTCTGCTGGGTTCCCTGGGTGGTTAACCTAAATGCATTACATCCACAGATTCTCTTGTGTTCTGGCTTCAAGTTGGGTTCAGCAACAAGGAGCACAGACAGAAGATTGGGAGACGGAAGGGAGAAGAGCAAGATCAGGGTATTTATCCCCTTTGTATGAGGTCACTGTTCTGTGAACTGGCTCTGTCTTTTCCACTAGAGGTCACAGCTCAAGCTATGTCATGAGCAGCTCTCTCCGCATAGCTCTATCTCCTGGTTCTAATAAAGGCTTTCTTTCCTTGCCCCAGTGGGTGGGAAAGGCACCCCAAGTTACTAGTTCTAGAGTATTTTGTTACCACTTTTGAGTTCCTTAAACCTTGCCCACACCTTTGTAGATGATCCTTTTAAATTAAATTCTTCTCAAATTATCAAATTTGTACAAATAAATTTCTTTTCTAGTGGAACCCTAACTAATATGGACAAGTTTCTTATAGGAACCACAAGCGGTAATTGTAAAATCAGATAAGATTTATTGAAATATGTGTGAAGTTTCTTTGAAGAATATAATGACTTTGTAGAAGTTCAAATGAAACATATGCAATACATATAGAAAAATGCATAAAGCATATATGTGCAGTTTGAATAATTATAAAATGAACAGCTATATAACCAGTACTGTGATCCAGATATAAAATATTGCTGCCTCCCCAAAAGCACAGTGAATCGTTTCCAGGTTCAAGCTACTCAGAACAATGAGGCTAAGAAAATTCTTGTACTTGTCTGTAGTACACATTGCAAGAGTTTCTCTAGGACGGTGGTTCACAGTCTTTTGGTGATAATGTGGAGTGGTGATGAGAGTTCTCAAGAGCTGTTGCTGAGAGTATAAATTGGCACAAGCACTTTGAAAGAACGTGGCATTGTCTAGCAAAACTAAAGTTATATGCACCTTCTTTTTTTTTTTTTGAGATGGAGTTTTGCTCTTTTTGCCCAGGCTGGAGTGCAATGGCACGATCTCAGCTCACTGCAACCTCCGCCTCCTGGGTTCAAGCAATTCTCCTGCTTCAGCCTCCCATGTAGCTGGGATTACAGGCATGCACCACCACGCCTAGCTAATTCTGTATTTTTAGTAGAGATGGGGTTTCACCATGTTGGCCAGGCTGGTCTTGAACTGTTGACCTCAGATGATCCACCCGCCTCAGCCTCCCAAAGTTCTGGGATTATAGGCGTGAGCCACCGTGCCCGGCCTTGTTTTTTTTCTTCTTTTTTTTTTTTTTTTTTTTGACAGACTCTCGCCCTGTCACCTAGGCTAGAGTGCGGTGGTACGATCTCGGCTCACTGCAACCTCTGCTTCCCAGGTTCAAGCGATTCTCCTGCCTTAGCCTCCTGAGTAGATGGGATTACAGGCACCATGCTAATTTTTGAATTTTTAGTAGAGATGGGGTTTCATCACATTGGCCAGACTGGTCTTGCACTCCTGGCCTCAAGTGATCCACTCGCCTTGGCCTCCCAAAGTGTTAGGATTACAGGTGTGAGCCATGTGCCTGGCCTCGCATCTTCTGACATAGCAACTTCACTATTTTGCATGATGTTTGCTGTAAATTTTCTGTAGGTACCCTATTTGACTTAAAAATTTCCTTTTATTTCAAGTTTAGTGATTTTTAAAATTAAGAATACATATTGACTTTTTTTACCATTCACTTTTCCTAAATATGTTTGGGGGGTCATATGGGTTCTCTCCTTTATTCTATTAATATGACAAATTACATTGATTCATTTTCAAATATTAAACCAATTTTGTATTCCTAGAATACACTTAACTTGCTTTTCTCTATTATCTTTTTGTATTGCTGGATTCAGTTTGCTAATATATTGTTTCAGATTTTTTTCAACATATATCCATACGTCAAATTAGATTGTAATTTTATTTTGCCATAGTCTTCACATGAATTTTAGTGTCTTATGAGTTTGAGAATTGTTCCTTCTTGTATGTGTTTATGTGATATTAAAATACTTTGTTCGTTAAAAGATTGGTGGAACCCACATGAAAGGCTTCTAGTCCTGGAATTTTCTTCGTGGATTTTCTGTAAACGATTCAATTTATTTAATGATCATGGGATTGTTCAGGTTTTATTGTTGTTATTATTATTATTATTATATTATTTTATTTTATTTTTGAGACAGAGTCTCTCTCTGTCGCCCAGGCTGGAGTGCAGTGGTGCAATCTCTGCTCACTGCAAGCTCTGCCCCCTGGGTTCATGCCATTCTCCTGCCTCAGCTTCCCTAGTAGCTGGGACTACAGGCACCCGTCACCACGCCTGGCTAATTTTTTTGTATTTTTAGTAGAGACGAGGTTTCACCGTGTTAGCCAGGATGATCTCAATCTCCATCTCTTGACCTTGTGATCCGCCCGCCTCAGCCTCCCATAGTGCTGGGTTTACAGGCGTGAGCCACCGTGCCCGGCCTGTATTATGTTTTTCAAATGCTCTCTTAGCAGAATCACGCTCGTGTTTTTTACATATGTTTATAAGGTTTGTTGATTTTTCCTCGAGGAAATTAGTCCATATAGTGTACTTTGTCAAATGGACTAACATTAAGTCATTCATTATATCCTCTTATTATCTTCCAGTGTGTACAACATCTGGAGTAATATCCCCTTTTTCACTCCTGATAGCGTGTGTGTGGTTGTGTGTGTGTTCTCTCTCACTCCCTGTGTGTGTGTGTATGTATGTCTCTCATTAGTCTCACCAAAGATTTTAGTCTTCTCAAAGAATCAATCAACTATTGGCTTTATTGTTCCTATTACATAGTTTTTCTATTTTATACATTTTTGTTCTTATTTGTTATCTCTTTCCTACTACTTTATTTCTGTTTATCTTGCAGTTTATTTCTAATATCCTGAGGTGGATGCTTGGTTCATTTACTTTTAGCCTTTTTTCTTTTCTAATATAAAATGTAAGGCTATAAATCAACTCTGTAAACAATTTTTAGCTCTTACTCTACAAGTTTTTGATATGAATTAATTTTTAAATAACTCACACATTTTAAAAAGGCACAGTTCATGGCCGGGCGTGGTGGCTCACACCTGTAATGCCAGCACTTTGGGAGGCCGAGGCAGGCGGATCACCCAAGGTCAGGAGTTCGAGACCAGACTGGCCAACATAGCAAAACCCTGTCTCTACTAAAAGTACAAAAATTAGTCGAGCGTGGTGGCGGGCATCTGTAA